ATCATATATATATATGCTTTTTATAAAAAATAATTAATATAACAAATTTACAAAAATGCAATATAAATAATACATTTCTAATTCGTGACTAGGTGGAACAGGCTTCGACCCAATAAGAATCAGGACAATATATTAGGAACTGAATCCGAATTGACCCAATAAGTTTGGGTCCATCAAGTCCAACCCAAACCATTAACAGCCCTARAGAGAGAAAGAGATGTAATAAATAAAAAATATAGAGAGAGTAATAACAATTTTGTGACAATATTATAATTACATATTGATGGCACTCTCGTAATTATATGAAAACTTAATAACATATGCACAATGATTCAATGGCACTTTATTTTAAATTTTATTGTATTTTATTTGATTGCATATAAATGAAGTAAAATAAGACGTAAAGTAGAATAAGGTAAAACCCAAAACAATATTAAACTAAAATTTGTATTCTTTTCATTTGCATTCTCATGCATTTGTACTTGTGCAAATAAATTTGCACTACAATCAAATACCACCTTAATTTAACAAATTTGAATAACAAATACTTTTGGTCAAAAACTTTTTAACTGAAAGTAGGATCCATAGTACTGTATCATCGTCATTACAAACGGTCAAAACAATTTCTTGGGAAGAAACACACATCCATCTCCTTTATTTGGTTAACCAATTAAACCGGCCGATGTATAAAACAAAATTTCAATGGGTTCTATCTCTTTTTCAATCGGTTTTGATTGTTCATTAATCAAACCGATAATAACAATTCGATTGACATAAATAAATGAAACCGAACCAAACCAACCCATATATAATTATCCGATCTTAATCATTATAAAATATTTCTAATACAAGGTCGGAATGTAAACTCCTTTTCATGGAAAGGGTTAAAAAATGAAAATGGAATCATTCGTCTTCTTATTTGGAGTTTCACTATGTTTTTCATTTTTTTTAGAATCTTCAGTTTTCCTTCCTTGCAAGGGCAACGAATGGAATGTCAAAATAATGCAGACGACTTGGAAGAATATACTTGTTTTTTATAAATAGAAAAATAATGGCTGCACAACACGTGTAGCCCTCCCCCAACAATCACTAAAACACAAAATAAATAAATAAAGACCTATTTCAATCCAAACACTCTCTATACACTGAACCATAATCAATATTAGCTAGCCAGTCCACTGCCAATGGTTTAAACCACATAATATGTATTGAGTATTGACAAACAGCTTATATACTAACCAAGTGGCCAGCTCCTAACACCAGTCCACTTTTTTTTTTTGTCAATTGATTTTGAGAGCTTTCATTGCATAACTGCAATGATAAAAAAACAAATTGATTTCTTATTAATGCCATTAAATGTTAGGGCATACAACAAAGCATAGCTGTTGCTGTTAGGTGACCTACCAAGAAAATTGGAAAGTGAAAWACATTCTCATTGGATTCTAGCAAGTTCTGCCCCATTAATCTAACATACATAAACTAATGGCCCCCATGCGATGTATAGGAAAAGTATTATTATGTTAGGGCATATAGGACTTAAAATTTATTGTTCTATGGGGCTATATAACATGAGGGGTAGGGATGCAATTTTCCCTATCCCCACTTGAGTATTTGGCCTTCTCGACCAAGTGAGGATGGGGATGGAGATTGTTATAGTGGGGACAGGGTGGATATGAGATTAATAGTAATACTCAATCAAGGACGGGAACGGAAACGGGGACAAGGAGTGAAGTCCATAATTATATATATTATATTAAATATATAATATTATTTATATTATTTATATATATCAAAATATATTTAAAATATTATTTGTATTTTAAATTTTCTTTTATATTAAATAAATACCWTTCAAAAACTAAAGTTTTAATTAAAAAATTTGGGGATTTAGGTGCCCGATGGGGAACCTGTCTCCATTGAGGACTGAGTATCCAGACTAAACTTTTCCCCAATAGGGATTAATTTAAAACTCAAGGTCGAGGACGRGGAGTATGATCCTTGCCCCGAACCCACCCATTGCCATTCCTACCCATCGAGTCATCCCCCAAACCCATAAATATAGTTCCAATAATTATGAAAATTATTAAAACTTTCCAATTATTTATTTGAATAATTGGAAGTTTTATAATTTAACTTTCACTAAATTAAATTACCAAAATTAGTAATGATGGAGCACGAACTGGATGCTCCCTTCTGGAGGATGACTTGGAGCTTCGTTGTATGACAAGCTGGTTGTTCTACAAAACAGTGAGCTCAGAGAACTCGGGGTGGCTAACCTGGCAAGGTTGCTTCGATGATTAAGTTAGTATTCTTGCGGTAGACTGCAAGCTGAAAATGAGCTAGAGTGCTAGTGTGTAGATGATATTATGCGTACCTAGGCACCAAAGGGGTTGTTGCCTTTATATACAGAGTTGTCGTGAATCTCACGGAACAGCTCCAGCATCTTCGGCCTGGAAAGATGAGGTCTACTCCCGTTTTATCCGAAGGGTATTGTGCCAGCTTACGATCCTTATCATTACCGCCCAATCCGGATGGAGAGAGGATAAGGCATGCCGTCGTACAACGTGATCTCGCTRGGAAGCTTCTGGAATTTATTACGTGTCACTTTAGTTCTTGGGCTCCGAACTGGATTAGGTGTCGAGGTGCCTCTATGCCGAGGTGACTTTATGCCGAGGTGGCTTTGTGCCGAGGTGACCGAACACCCGAGTTTTGAAAACTGTTGAGTATGCTCCTTTTGCTAAGTTGTCATCCTTCGGGTAGATTGCGTCCACGTGACCTTTACTTACTAGGTTGTGCCAAATCACCCTTCATCAAGTAACTTTTAGTAATTAAATTTTCAAAATCACTAATCATTGCTCAAAAATTGTAGTAAATACCAAAGTTACTAAAAAATCAAAAAATAAGTTTATACTTATTGAAATTAATTTTCCACTAAAAAATTACTATTTTTTATGACTATCTAATAATATCACTAAACACTAATAAATTGACCAAAATTACTAAAAAATATCAATAACTAATTATTGCTAAAAATTATTGAAAATGTAAAAAAATAAATTTGTATTTATTTTTAATAAAAATTATCAATAGTTTTTTATCATTAAAATTGTATTTATTAATATTTTAATTAATTATTCATTTATTAGTAATTATTAGTTTAAATAATTAATTTAAAAATCTGAAATTAAATTACCAAAATCAGTAATTTTCAGCATCTAAGTTTTAGTAATTAAAATTTCCAATGTACCAAAATTACAGAAAATTATAATTTAGGTGTTGATATCTGATGAATAATATTCAATAATATCACTAATTATTGAAAATATCAATAATATTTCACAAATTAATTTAACTAATTAATTTAACCTTTTTTATTTTTAGATTGTTTATTGGGCATGTAAGATAGATTAAGATGTGTTTTAGGAAGAATTTTAGGTGGGAGAGATAGTTTAAGAGAAATTTTAGGAGGGGGGTTGGCTAAGTGATTGGGAACATGAGAGAGAGGGAGTTGGAGTGGGACTTTAGTGAAGAGGCATGTGTATTAAGGAGAAATGAGGGCTATTGATGTGTGTGTGTGTGTAAAAGTGTAAATGAGGTATAGATTCTATATTTTTTTACTAAAATATCCTTGATTTTGAACTTGGTCTCCCTATATTTATGAGGGCAAAAAATATAATTTGAACTACTACTCTTATTAAATTCATTATACTCCTCATCATTAACTCCTATATTTAACGTATCAAGTCTCATTTTCTTTCATTAAATCTTATATTTAAGGGCTTTGTGGGCTTTTTTACTAAAACACCCTATTTATGAATTTAATACTTCTTTAATAATGTAAATAGAATTAAAAACTAAACTAACTTAAAAAGAAGATTGTTTTTACATCTAAAATGGTCCATAGGGAGGACAAATTAGGTGAGCTTAACTCGAGCTCAAATCAACTTAACTTGTAATTTTAGACAAGCTAGCTTCGATTTTCAATCCTCGACTTGGGCCTTGGCCTKGGTTGAAAAGTTTGGTCTTTTTTATTTTTTGGGTTGGGCCCAAGCCTATCCTTTGGGTAACTAAAGTATTTTTATTCAATGGGCCCAAGTGGTTGTAGCATTGCAAATAGTGTTGCAAGTAGGGGTACAACTTAGACGGGCCCAATCCAAGCCCAAACCAACGTAGCCCACAATTTTACATGGTTTGGGCTTGGATTTTTGGTCTTCAAGCTAGGCCTAGGCTCAAAAAATCAAGTTTTTTCTATATAAACCAGCCTCAATAGTAATTACATGGGTAGTTTGGTCATTTTTGTGTCTTTTGTTAGTAGGTTATAAGGGGGTCTACTTGCAACTATGTTAGAAAGTTCATAAAAGGTGATTGCAATTACCAAACTTCAAAGGATGTTTCAGCAATGGTTAAAAACTTCAAGAAAGGTTTCAACAATTTACCTATTTCTTAATAAACCATACATGCATGTATATGTATATGCGTGCATATGAAATTCTAGTATAGGCTGATTGACTAACCCGTGCTTGGGCCCAGCTCGAGGGCATCAAATATTAGTGCAGGCTAGGCTCAAGAAAATATTAATGCGCCTAGCAAGGTTCAAAATATCGATACGCCCGACACGCCGGTAGGGGCACATAGGGCGTTTTGATACTCATTTTTTACCTTTATTTTTTTTTTCAAAACTAGTCTAGGGGAGCCGGTCTAGGACCCCTCCATCCCCTGAACCTGTCAAACCCCCAATACACCCACTATAGGGGCATATCGGAAGGGTCCCGGAAGGATACGTATTAGCCAATACGGGCCAATATATAACAATACTTTAAACCTTGGCACCTAGGCACCTCACCTAGGTCCTAAGTGCAACCCTTTCAAAAGGCGCACTAGCTTACTCCTCAGCCCCGGTATGCGCCATTTTAAAATTTCATGCATTTTACCTAAGTAAGTGATACCCATGTCTGAGGTGGGTAAGTATCTTTCCCACCTAGAGGGAACATTACCAATGCTTAGATGTAACAAAACTGTCTCTTTTAATAATGACTTTTTATGACTAAAATGATCATTGTATTATTTACCTAGAAAATAAAAGAACATTGATAGTATATTTACCCAGGTAAGTGTTTCCTTTACCCAGGTAAGTAGCTTCTCGAAAAACGAATAGGGCCCAATTTAATCAAGATAGGTGTGTTATGTTGCCATTGCCATACTACTGAATGAAAATCTGAACCCATGATCCACTGAAACCTCTCGAAAGTTTCTGGCCATTGTTGAAATCTCCCTTTAAGTTTGGTAATTGCAATTACTTCTGAACTTTCTGACAGTTGAAACTTTAAAGTAGAGCCCATCTATTAGAATCCTCTAATAACACGAGGATTTTACTCAAAAAAATAACATGAGGCATGAAAATGTCCAAAATACCTATACAATTACTACTGAGGCTAGTTTTTACCAAAAATATAAAACAAAACTTTTGATCATAAAAAAGGGAAAATCTATGATGAGGAAAAGACATGGTATCCAAAGAGTTCTGACCAATCAAAACCCACCCATGAATTTTGATAAAACCTGATTGGCTACCACATTCATGATTCCAATTGATTGGTCAAAAGTTTTTTGGACATTATATCCTTCTGGTATCATAGAGGAATATAAGAGAATTTACGGCTGTAACTTTACTATTTGAGCAATTAATATGAACAAATTTGAAAAATAAATCAATTTCAGAAAAAAAGATTGAAAGGATTTGGGGTAGCAATTGATATGAAGATAAAATTTAGAAAATAAATATTTTGGTAAAAATTAACTATGGGTATTTTGAACATTTCCATGCCTCTTGTTAGAGATTCTAACGGAAGGGGCCTACTTGCAACTGTGTTAAAAAGTTCAGAAGAGGTGATTACAATTATCGAACTTCAGGGGAGGTTTCAAAAATGGCCAAAAAAATCAAGGGAGGTTTTAGCAATTTACCCTTTTTAAGCTTAATGATCCAATTTTCAATTAAACTATTGTTGTTTAGTCTCAGTTTGAAGGAGTACAAATACAAATATGTATAGTGCACTTCCAAACTAAGCCTCAGCAAAAATGTGCATAAAATAATAAATTCAAATTTGTGATTATGTTTTGAAAATAAATATGTTTCCTTGAGCAGAAAAGGGGAAACCACGTGCATTTTGCCTTTTTCAATTTTTCAGATTTATATGACATCAAGTAACACAGCTTCCCCAAATGGCCAAATCCTTTTTATGAAGGGAATTATCAGCGGGGTTCAAGGTAGCGAATCCGAAGTGTTGCGAGGACCAATTCTGTGAAGACGAAATCCGATCTCCAAAGCATCAATATCACAAAAAAAAAAGTACCGGGATACAATAGTCGGATGATTTATGAATAAAAATAACACCAAATTTAAGACAAAAATGATAATAATTAAGATTAAGATGCAAACACATAGGCTATGTTTGGCTTGTATAGGTTTCCCTATCTTTCCCTTCAAACCAAATACAGCCACAATTAACACACAACTTGTGTGACACAAGGCCTAAGACAAATAGACAATGTGGCCATAATTTGACTAAAAATTAAGATAACTCCAATCTTTTGATATGTGTTGTTATGGATCTATAGATATGATAAATCATTCATAGATCCATTGTTCAGTTCCTACCAAAAGCATGACAAATTAATTCTAGCAATTTTTTCGTTTTCACATTTTGATAGCAATATGTATAGATCAATTTGTACTAGCAAAAACAAATTAGCTTGAACAAGAGATGAGCGATTCCATGCAATTCAAGCACCAAAGCATGTAAATCCAAGAAAATATACATTTACCTTGTTGGTGGATTCTAGCACCCAACCCCACTTAGACATAAAATTTAAAAAAAAAAAAAATCTGAAAAATGGTAGAACCTGGGAGCTCGGATCTCCTGAGAGCACAGCATCCAGCCACACAAGTTTTTGCTTTCAGGAGATCCCGTCAGATACTGGGCTGTATTGCTGTAAACAATTCCCACAACTCTCGGACAAAGTAAATGAGGTTTAGTCTGCAGTCGCATTTTTTCTGTTTGGYTGTGTATCTATCGATATGGACCGATATTCACCAATACACATTGATACACTGATATGTATTGTATCAATACTTTTTTATAGGCTTTGATACGGGATAATGGCTTCAAAACGGAAGTCATTCATCCTGCTGTACTATGTGCCAGTATTGCAAAAAAAAAAAAACATGTAATTGTAAAACGTTGATTAGTGGTTTTAGTTGTTTTCTCTCTATAAATTTTAAGCCTATAAAAAACTTGAACTCAAATAGTTCCATTAGTTTCTAAATCCTGTATTACTACAACCCTTAGTAATTGAGGTAAACTGCAAATTGATAAAAACATCAAATGGATGTCAAGATTCAATCTGCAGAACTTTCATTGAATGATAGAAATTACCATGGAGGAACAGAAATTACCTCACATCTGAGAAGACATTGAAAGAAATATTAAAAGAATGACCCTCTTCATAGCCGATCAGGATTTACAGATGACTCATTATCCAGCACATTGATCTGGCCTGCAATCTTGGCCTTGCAAGTTGGACAAATAAAACCAACTGAATCTGATTGTGTTTCAGAGGTGACTGCCCCATGGTTGAACTCTAATCTGCACCATACACACAAGGCTGTAAGCTGATTACTAGCAACATTTGGTAAGACAGCTTCCCACTCAAATTGAATGGGGACATCAATCTCTGCATCATATGTCAGGTTCATTGATTCTTCCGGCAGAGAACTTGATTCTTGCTCATTAATATAAGTGAATTTTGGGGGCTCTATTTCCTCAAATCTCAGATCCTCAAAACCTGAGACATTGTCAAGCTTCTGGTTGACACTGCAGAATCCATCCCTTCCCTGTATGAAATAAGATATTGGAGAAGCTCGTATTATGTTCAGGTAAGTTAAATTTGTAAAACACACAATTATCAAAAAATAAATTGTAAAGCACACAAACTACTTCACTTGAAGGTCTCACTTTTTTTTTTTTTGAATTTCCTCATTCAAAGAATTTGCTACAATAGAATGGAAATAAAATCCAAAAAGAAAACTCTGTTCAGAAGACACCACCAGTACACTTCATATCTTTATGTGAGGGGGGGGGGCTAGCTACTGCTCACCCAGAATCACATGCTTAGGAAGTGTAAAAGTTACTTCCGGCTTAGCCTCCCCATGGAAAGATATGCATGGTATTATTCCAGGACTTCTTAACTCTATCATGTATGTTTTCTGCTCTGGAAACAAAAACCTATTTTGGGAAGACCTATGGGTGGGCAATTCTTAGACCTGACAATTGGGTTGGGTGGGTCGGGTTTGGGTTGGGTCGAGACACTTCATGTTGATTTTGGGTTGGGTCAGGAAATGCTAGACCCTAACCCTAACTGTTTGGGTTAGGGTTGACCCACGAGTTAATTTGGCTTATCCTTAAAAATAATTGGAAATTTAAAAATAAAGAAAAAATAGAAAAAATGCCAAAATTAAAGGAATTAATCTTAGAATTCTACAAATAAAATAAAACATTCAACAATTCAAAGAGTAAACGATAAAGTGTAAAGACTAAATAGTAAAGATTAAAGAGTGGAAACTTYTAACAATACATAAATAGTCCCAATTAGACCTGACAATTGGGTTGACGGGTTAACCCATGACCCAACCCATCCTAGTTTTTCGGGTCGGGTCGGGTCGGGTCGGGTCATTCTCATATTCATGTAGATAAATATGAGACCTTAACCCTATTTTTTTGGGTTGGGTTGGGTTGGGTCGGGTTTGCAGGTTGGGTCAACTTTTTGCTAGGTCTAGTGATTCTACTCCTAGGGGCCTTTTTCCTTCTTTGTTTTCAATCTCACATCTCACATTATAAAATGGAACCTATTTTGAAATTCATTTCAAATTTTTGAGAAGGTTTGCTTAGACCCCTCTAAGCCTGATGGGTGTGTTTGGGCTCCCCAACCTATGGGTGGGTGCTTACTCACAAGTTGATGCACTCTTTCCAAAGGCAATGGTAAAATTTGCTTTTAATCTCCTATTCATTTGTTACTTGTATTTGGGAACAATTTTTCTCTTTATTTGTGTACAAGTAGACTCCACCCATGAATATGGCAAGGTTGTTTGACTTAGAACTTTTACATGGCCAAAGAAAAGAGGAAGAATCATGTGAAGGTGCACCAAGAACAACAGTTATTTGGATAGTATAGGAAGAAAGAAATGCAAGAACTTTTCATGGAGAAGGAAAGAAGCAAGGAATCTGTAAGGAAATGTATCATGGTTAAGGTGATACACTATGTAAGATCATTGGAAATTTTCTCACCTTTTTAACATAATGATATTTGGAGAAAATGGGGGGAAGAGGCTACAACCTCCTCAATAAAGAAGATAGTGCAAACTTTACAAAGGCTAGGACACCACTGGAGGATAGCTTTATTAAGTTAAATTTTGATGGGATTAGCTTTGGAAATCCAGGTCCCTCTAGAGTGGGATGAGTATTTAGGGATAAAGATAGTCATATTGTAACTATGTTTTTTGGCCCAATTGGGCTTTGGGGTTTCCACAAGGGTTGAACTCCATGCTATACACCAAGGAGTACAACGAGCAAGATACAGGAATTTGGACAAGCAAATTATTGAAGGTGACTCCAAGGTAGTGGTTTGTTGGCTAATGAATAGTGAGAAAGAAGTATTGGCATACAAAGATGAACTAAAGAAGATTAAATGGCTAGCAAGGAACATGCACATAAAAGTACAATGGGTGCAAAGATCAACAAATAGGTTGGCTGACACACATACACTAGCCAAATAGGGGGTTGAGAGGGATTGATTGAATTGGGCTCAATTGAAATTTGATGCATAGTTGGAGAGGTAATAGATATGAACGGACGAACCTCTCCAAGGAATGCCTGACTCGTATGCATACATTTTAGTCATACTTGATAGAATCTGAAGTTACTTGCGAAAAGTAAGTGCACAAATAATAAATACTTTTCTTTGGTAATTAATAATTACAAATTTGACCCGGTCCTCTGTCTATACATGTTACCAGATTTTCCTTGAAAAACTTCATAATATTTATCATGACTTTTGAGGATCCACAACAAATAGGTCAACTTCAAGCCACATTTTCAGATTTTCAGTAGCATGACAGGCAGATACATCAATCTTTACTCTTGCATTTTCTTTTGGGGCTACAGTTCCCCACCCCCATTTCTCCGACAAAAACCCAAAAATATTAAATAGTAAGTAGGAAACATAGGAGAACAAAAAGATAACAAAACAATCCAGATAAATCCCAACCACATTCTCAACTTGTATACTTATAAAAGGTGCTCATTCCATGCAATACCCCATACCTTATCTGAGATCATATCAGAGGTGGAAAAGCAATCAGATGATTGCATTAATGGCAGTGAAGGTTCCCTCATCCCACTCTGCATTGCATTATCAGATGATTGCATTAATGGCAGTGAAGATTTCTTCATACCACTCTGTATTGCATTATCAGATGATTGCATTAATGGCAGCAAAGGTTCTAACCCCCCACTTTGACTTGTATTCTCTTCGCCATTGACCACAGTAGCCTCTTTTACAACATTTTTATCTTGTCCAGCCCGAGTGCCACAAAGCTCACTTCCCATCCCCTCAAGGGTGGGAAAACAATCAGATAACTGCATTAATGGCAGCGAAAGTTGTATCATCCTGCTTTGCATTGAATTTTCTTCATCAATGCCATCAATAGTCTCTTTTGCAACATATTTACTAGATCCATCCTGACTGCCACCAAGCTCACTTCCTATCTCATGAATGACGGGGAAGCAATCAGATGACCGTATTGATAGCAGTGAAGGTTCTGTCCCCCCGCTCTGCATTGTATTTTCTTCATCAGTATTCTCAGTTGCTTCTGTTACATCTTTACCCAGTACAGTCTTATTGCCATCATTTTCAATTTCCATCCCATCAAGGGTGGGAAAGCAATTAGATAACTGCTTTAACGACAGAGAAGGTTCCATCATCCCATTCTGCATTGCATTTTCTTCACGAGTATCCCCAGTAGCTTCTTTGGCAACATCCTTACCTGGTTCAGCCTGGCTGCCAGCATGCCCATTTCCCATCTCAACAATGGTTGGAAAACAGTCAGACAACTGCAGTGAATGTTCTATCATCTCACTCTGCATAGCATTGTCTTCATTACTGTTCCTAGTTACTTCTGTTACATCTTTACTTAGTCCAGTCTTATCATCATCATGTTCAATTTCCATCCCATCAAGGGTGGGAAAGCAGTTAGGTAACTGCTTTAACATTGGAGAAGATTCTGACATCCCATTCTGCATTGCATTTTCTTCATGAGCATCCCCAGTAGCTTCTGTAACATCTTTACCTGGTCCAGCCTGGCTGCCAGCATGCTCGTTTCCCATCTCAGCAATGGTTGGAAAACAATCATATAACTGCAGTGAATGTTCTATAACCCCACTCTGCATAGCATTTTCTTCAACAGTTCCCCTCCTAGCCACTGTTACAACAACTTTACCCGATCCAGCCAGGCCAGCATCAAGCCCACCTGCCATATCATTACTTCCAAATTTTTCCATTTTGTCAAGTTTGGGTTCCTCAGCAGCACTTATGAGAACCTCACTCATAATACTTTTAGGGCTGCAAGGTTGCTTTTTCATACATGGAGTAGGCAAATAGCTTTCAGAACACTTCTCTTGCTCAATGGAAGATTTGATTTCAACAGCAGTGTCTGCAAAACCATCTTTTCCACAAGAAGTTAAAAGACTATCATTTTCCCCATTACCAGACAATGGAGTCCCAGAATTATTTTCAATCCTGCGAGCTTGACAATTAGCAGATAGAGTACATGAAGAGCTTCCAGAAGCCATTTCTTTCTCAATGGCAGGCTTGTTAATTTCAACAATGGTGCTTGCAAACCCATCTTTTCCACAAATTTCAGTATCATTTTCCTCATTAGTTGGCAACACAGTTCCAGAATCCAAACAAGACTTAAGTTCAACAGATATGTTGCCAGCATTGTTGATCATCCCTAATTTATAACCAGTCATTCTCAGATCACCGTCCAGCTTATTGCAAGATTCACTGACCAGAGTCTTATTAATACTGTTAGTATTCACAACTTGTTTATCATGCAAGGAACTTATACCTAGTTCAAGTTTGGATCCAGCAGGAGCTCCGAGAATTGAAGTGGCACCCAGTTTACTATGAACAGAACCAACATTCAGTTCTTTATTAGGCTTAGCAGTTGGAGTTTCCAGAATAGAAACCTTGTCAATTTCAACCAATGCACCCATCTTAGAGACCGCTGAAGGAATTGCTCCCAAGGATGGAAAATCAACGCTCTTCTGTAAAGTTATCTCACCTGGTGATGCCTCAAGGCTCCTGACATAGTTCCTCATGTGGACACCAACATGACCATTGTACCGATGCCTTTCTTGGAAAATTTTATGGCAGAATTGGCATTCATACTTTCCATCTTTAATTATCACCCCATCAGCAATTGATGAACCCGGCCGGCACCTCTTTGCACCCCTCTGGTGAAATGACAGTAAGTGCTGCAAATATGTATCCTTTTCATTGAAAGTCATACTGCATTTTTGACATTCTAAAAGGTCACGTACTTGGACCTCTGAAAGATTCTCAGCCCTCAATAAAGTGACTTGCTTGTCATGGTCATCAGCAGCAACAGATGATGCTGAATAGGAAATGATGTTTTCCCTTGTGTTGCCATCCTTATGGGTAAGACCTGCATTCTGTTGTATAACCCATAAATCTAATGGAATAAATATATAATGCACCAAATAAATTTTATAAACATAGGATTTACACTTCCAGAAGTTAATTTGTGTGCCATGTGAGAATTTTCATGACTGTGGCCACAGTTGAGCTCGCTTGCATTTTGAGGTCCAAAAATAGAGAGTAGATACGAGGAGACTTCTTTGCAGGACACAAATTGTTGGCCATTAGGGCTGGATCACAACAAATTAGTGATCAAGGATATGTAAGTAAAGGACCAAACAACCCAGAAAATAGAAATGCAGAAATTACAACAAAATATCAATATAACTAGAGCTATAGAATAAGACTATAGTAGGAAATTCCTATCTATGAATAGGATATGGGCATTTTAGACACACTACAGGTCTATTGACCTAATAAAAGTGATCTCAAAGGATCAGAAATTAACATATTGGGCAATCAGAAATACAAGAAGCTTTATTTTTAAACCCCAATTCCTCTTTTCAACAGGCAAGGTACAGAGTTGCAAACAAATTTTAAAATATCAGTATTGGTATGCATATGGGTGAACTAATTAAGATTGAATGCACAGATTATACATTAATTTTCAGTTGAGTTATCTTCAAATGGAAATTTTAAGATACAGGAGGACAGTCAAATGCATAAACTAATGAAATGAAGGCAACAATGCAATCCCTAGGAATTTTGAGATGTCAAGGCAAGTCACTGCCTAGACGATGACTAGGAGCTGCCTAGATGACCAGAGGTACGAATGTATATTAAGGCTATATGTTTGGTTAATTTAACACATGACAACAAGGAAGCTAAATGGGGAGAAAGCGACTACTAAAGCCTCTATTTTCAGAAAGGCAAAGTTATTACTAATTTTCTTTCCTATCTCTCATGTCATCATGTCCCAATTTCCCCAGTCCCAATTAAAATTGAATTCTGGAAGACTGTCAACTTTTTTTTGATAAGTGACAATCAGATTTACTGATTACTAGCAAATACATACACCTGTTAGAGAGGGAAAAGCATCAAAGACTATGATAAATGAATAAAAGAGAGATAGGAAAGCACAAAGATAATGATAAATGTTTGGTTGATCAACAATATCTGTTTGCACCGTGAAATGATAAACGAATAAATAAATAAAATCACAAAAACAAAGATAATTAAGTTAAATAACAGAAAAATCTATCATGTGTCTTAACTGTGTAGAGAAAAGCATCAAAAGATTTAAATAATATTTATGAGCCAACAGTTGAGTTGAAGACTGAATGTCAAAAACCATTACTTAATCTAATCATCAAAAAAAAATAAAGAAATTACTTAATTTGAACGAGACAACTCAACTCAACACATATAATCCTACATATTCTAGATTTGTTTTATTTAAATCATTCAAGGGTTTTGCAGTCCCTCGTATTGGATTAATATCATTAATAAATTCTTTGTCAAAGACATGGCTTACACCCCTGAACTCCTGAATTCACAGATATCATGAATTTATTGCAAATTAGTGCATGCGAATTTTAGGAAAGTTACATGAATAAGTATACGCAGGCACATGATTGTGCACCACAAGTAGATTATTAATCATTCAAAACCAAAATGTAACTAGATTCCCCTTTAATCATAAGTTAAAACAAGTAGGACTACAGGTGCACGAGATACTAGTAAACATAACAAGAAATGTAAAATAAAGAAAAGACAAAGGTAAAAAAGAAGTAAGGATAGGATTAGCAATAATAGGACCTTATGTATCTCCTGCAATTTAACCAGACGAGACCTTCTTTCCTCTTCAGGCTGAGTAGAAGTTTCCAACCTCTGGGCAACTCATCTCCAAAATCACTGGCATCAACGATCTTCCTTTTCTTCCTCCTGCTACCCCACTGCCCATTCAACCCCCTCAAAAACCCTAACAATTCCGCTTCCGTCTGCAAACCAGCAGTTCTCCTCCTCAACTCGGGACCGAATGGATCATCAACTTTAGCCAACGCAGCGGCATCAACTACAACACCATTTCGATTCACAATCTCCATAGACCGGCTCTCTGCATTGGATCCACTATCGTAAACAACAATAGTGTTGGTCATACCATTGCCATCTCCCGGTATCTTGTACTTGGATTCGTGCTTTGGTTTCCTCCCCCTCTTCCTCTTCCTTTCGCCTTCGGAAACAGAAACAGGAAATTGTTGCATAGGAACTCCATTTTCCACCTTCAAGGGCTCGGGGAGCGGCTCTCCGTCGTCGTCGACAAGAGGGATTAAGTCAGTTATGGGGTTGTCCCTGGCGAACAACTCTCGCAGAACAGAAATAATCCGTTTGTTCTCATTCCGTTCGGGGTCATCGACGGGGTTCTGCGGAGGCTTGGGAACGGGAAGAAGGCCAGCACATCGCCTGCGATGACCAATGCTTGTGTCTTCAGATTTGCTAGGGGCAAGGCGGAGACGAGAGTACGTCTGCTTTCGACTTCCGGCGCTCTCATTGAAAACAGAACGGTCGATTTTAGGGATTACGACGTCGTCGCAGCGGCGAAGGTCGAATGCATCGTCGGCACAAAGAGATAACGAGTTGAGATCCGACTGAGATAAGAAGCGAAGATCGACAAGCGGGATGGATTCGAGTTGCAGGTGTTTAGTAGAGGAATCGACTGTGACACTCGCCATGAAGCGGGAGGAGGATGATCCGAGGAGGTGGAGGATTTTTTCCTTTTCTTTATTAGGAGCGAAACGAAACGAGTAGAGGAACTGGGATGAAGACGACGGAAATGTTTGAAATTTCAAGTATTTTTTCACTCCAAGCCTTATGCTTCACTTCACACCGTTCGATTAGACCGGCGTATGACGATATTAGATATTTAGATTATCGATTGATGCCAACGGAGCACACCCAACGTCGATCTGAGTTGTAGAACCGGACGGTTTTATACGAATTGGCTTAGCGGTGTTAGCTGATCTATATTCATATCCATATTTTATTATTTTACTTTCAAAACAGTGTGATGTGCTCATGTGCATCTGAATTTCGGTTTCGGATAAATCTA